CCCCAAAACCCCAAAACCCCAAAACCCCAGTTTATGGATGTGTTATTGAGGGTTATTCTAGTGGATTGATAAGTCGACTTGTTGGTTTCGATGGGGTTTCAAGGGGTTTCGAAGTTTTCTACTAGCACCTTCTTTTCCAAGCTTAGAGTTTATTTTTCTGTAGTTTTCGATAGAAGGCTTTTTGTTTCCTAAACTTGGAATATTCCTAATATTTGGAACTGAAGCATCATGTCTATTTTGTTTTCCAAAAATCTTACGTATGAATTAATGATCTTCCTCTATTTGGAGAAGGATTCTTTGAAATATTGGGTAAGTATATTTCATTCTTGCGATTATACAATCTTTTACTTCTCTCTCTCGGCTTAGAAACACTTTGAGATAAATCCTGCATTCTTATTGGTCTATCAAAACCTCTCTGTTTCTGATTGTAAAGATTATTTCTAATAGACTCGCTAGAATTATTCTCAACAGATATTATTGAACTTTTTCTTATTAAATTTCTTTCTCTGGAATAATTTTGGACACTTCTAAAAGTCATGACGAGGGCATACTTATTTTGATCAAACTTCTTTGGATTTTTAGGGATGATAAGATATAGATGATCTCTAGGAGAGTCTGCTTGTTCATCCTCATAAGGAGATATATTATCCTGATAAATATTTTCCATTGCGTGTTTCTTCTTGATTAATCTTTCGTGCTCTTTCTTAATAAACTTCCTACCTTTCTCATATCGTTGTTTCGCTTCAAAGACTTGCTTTAATTTTTGCCTTTCCCTTCTCCTTTTAATTTGCGCGACCTAAAATAAACTACAAAGGTTACTTGTTCTTTAATCTCATCCATTGAAACATTCGGCTTGAATCTGTATTTCTTTCCTGGCTTGGCAAGCTCGCCTAAGTCCTTAACTTTAGTGTTGAAAGGAAGGGCTATAACTTCACTTAACCAAATGACGTACCTATACTCTCAGCCGCCATATCTTTCCATTGCTCATACTAAACTCCATCTTAACCTATCTTACATTCCTCTCTACACAGTCATTAGCTTCTTCCTGGAGTAACCTTCTATCTTTAAGCTTTCCAGAAGTCTCTTCTATCTCCTGAAGAATTCTCTCCTTTTCTTTCTTAAGTATCGTAACTTCTGGGTTCTCTAGAGATCAGGTAGAACAATACCATTATCTTTATTAAACTTTGTAGCCACTATGTACTTTATTTTAGCTTTGTGTTTGGTCATGATGGATTCGGATGGGTGCTCAGCTTGGTCGAGGGGAGGATCAGGGGGTTGGGAATCTGACTGGAGGATTTCTAGATCCTTGTTTATAGTCTTTTTTGGTTGGGGGCTTAGCTTAGGGTTGCGAGATAGAGATGAAGGAGGATGGTAAGGAGGTATATTCTTCCTTGGGCTTTTAATTTTGGGGTTTATAGGGGTGTCATCAGAAGCTTGGATATTAATGTCTATAATTCGTATATTTATTGATAAGAATACCTTCTTTTGAAGGACCTGGATTTGTGTTTATACTTTTCTCTTGCTTATTTTCAAGATTTTGTTGGCCAGTCTCTTGGTTATTTGCGCTGCTATTGTTACCCGGGCCGTCTTTGGTCTCCTCTTTATTGGTCCTTGCTGAATTATCATCAATTCCTTTTAATTCCTCGTAAAGATCGAGCAAGATGTCCTCATTTTCTGCTAATGAGGCAGCAAATTTCTTTTTCTTATCTCTATAAATTTTCTTTATCTCTAGTATTCTCATGTTTAACTTTTCGATTTGATCTTTGTATCTTTCTGCGAACAGCTTAGGTAAAGCTTGAACGAATTGTTGATAATTCATTTCTTTGCTGCATTCAGAGTTCATTTTATATACAGTTGCTCACCTCTGCTTATTCAGAGGAATTTTAAAGTGCTTGCAGAACAAGATGAACCCGCCCATATTGAGTATGCTAGTTCTGTTTCTGGATATTTTCAAAGGTCGATTTTTTGCCAATCATCAGATGCTGTCTTGAATAAAATTTAAATATCTCTTTTATTTCTTTTTCCTTTTGCTTCTCTTGATTAGCAATGGCATCATCCATTTTCTTCCTAATGATATCTTGTTTAGGAGATCTTTCTCGTGGCTCATAGATTCTTTTCTTAAGCATATCAATTTTTCTCTTGATTTTGACCCTCTCTTGGCTGTTATTAGAAATGCTCAATTCTGTGTTAAGAGTGTAAAGGTCTCTTAGTAGCATTAATTTTTCTTGATCATCTTCCATTTCAGCTTGATTAATCATATTCTGCAGCTCATCTTCTTCTCCTAGCTCTATCCCTTCTCTAGGGTGAGTTGCTCCTAACTCAGCTGTTATCGGATTATAGGAAGAGTTGTGCTTCATTGTAGGAGTAAATACGTAATCAACTCTGTGGTAATACCCCAGCTTTTTATTAGCTTGTTCATCCCCTTCGATTGATAAATAGTCAATAATTATGTCTCTGAAAGCATTGATATCTAGTGTTTTCTGTCCTCTATACCTTGAAGCCAAGGACTCTAAGCTTTGATAAAACTGTTGTTGTTGGAAGGGCAATACTTTATCAACTTCAATCTCGCCTCTGATAAAAGCAGCTGGTACAAGTCTGATTGATAAAATTTCTTCCAGACTATCAAAGCAATTTCCAATGTCAATAACATTAATAACAGGAGTGTTTAGAATAGAATACCCTCGAAGTAGATGCTTTATTTTCTCTTCATGATGCTCGAATCCTTGAGTTATTAGCTGTATCGAATTCTGTATTTCAGTTTCCATCTTCAATTTATATAGTTATTTTAGGGGTTTTGGGGTTTTGGGGTTTTGGGG